CTCTCTCAAAAATTTCATTTTTCTTCTTTTCTTGCCCATGAACTTATATTCTTTACAATATTAGCTACTGGATTCTTCAAAGAAAATGCCCCTCAATTTAAGGCTCTTCAAGTTTACTTAGAAGTAACAATGTTGTATAACATGCTTTCTTAAAGTTATAAATGATGCTTTCAGAAATTTGGTTAACAATCTTGAATATCTCCTTTTGTTTTTCTTATATTTTTTCCATGTCCAGCATCGATACTATGGCAAATCAATGCCATTCGGATCAAGGGAAGAAGCCTTCAATAATGCAAGCACTCTAGGATATTTCAACTCGGCCCAAGCTATGTAGACTGTGTAGAAATTGTCACCCACATATATAAAGGAGAAATTTAATGCTAAAGAGTGTCCTGTTACTGTTATTGGAGGCTCATATGGTGGAAGCAAATGATTGTGTTGCATGATTTTGAAACTTTATTTATTTATTTTTGTTTATTCATCAGAGGCCTATGGGTCTAGGGCTACACAATGAAGTAGTCCTCTTGCATTACAAAATCATTAAAAAAAACTTTAAATCATTAAAACTCAAACCTTACTTCATTAAAAAAGCTAATTGGACGCTAAGTCTATATGTATTTTGAAACTTTATTAGTTTTATTCCACTGTTTATTGGTATTTCTTTAATTGATGCATTGCATGTTCTTTTTCTAACTTGTTCTTTAGTGCTTGCTTCGTGGTTCAGGCTGAAATATCCTCATGTTGCCCTTGGAGTTATAGCTTCATAAGCACCAATTGCAATCCTATATTTTCATGATATAACACCAGAATATGGACTTGCTTCTATCGTCACCAAAGTTTTCAAAATAAATAACCAATTCTGATATTTTGTTAGTTTTCTTGCTTCTAAGTTCAATGTTTTAAGCAATACATGTTGGATTTGGATGTGCAAGAAACCAGCAAAAGTTGCCATGATACTATAAAATAGTCATGGACTGAAATTGATAGGATTGCTTATTAACCCAATGATCTTTAATACTCAGTAAGAATTTCAAGACTTCCATGTAAGTGCATCCATAACATGCTTTTTTACACCAGGTTTTGATTCTTGGATTAGAAAATTTATACTATGCTGTCTTTACTCTTTTTCTTTTTTAGGCCATTGATAAATACGATCGAGCTCAAATACTACTTATTAGCTAACATCTTTGTGGCTGCTGCTCAAACGATTCACCTTAAGCACCTACAGTTAAAATTGTACGTGAAGTCTTTGCTCGAACTTCTTTTGGAAATGACATTCTTGGTAGAATATCTGACGCTATGACGACTTTCTCAACTCTAACATCAGGAAAGATCTCATTTTATGCTAATTCACCCTCTAAACCGGATCCAGAAGTGGGGTGAGGTTGGTAGGTAATTAGATTATAGGGTGTTGGACATAGTCATATCTCCTATAAAAGAGTGTTTCACACATTCTTCTCTGGAATTATAAGGTGTTGGAGAATATATCAGACAATATAGTTGCTATAAATATTGTTTAACATATGGCCAAATGAACTACATTATCTACAATTTTTGGCAGAAAAAATAATTCATTTGTTTGTTTTGTAAGGTCTCATTGTGTAGCTACCCGACGCGAACGGGACTCTAAAAAAAAATCTCTAGTTTAAGGTTTTTTATTTACAAAATTTATTTATAGAATTTAGAGTCGCAACCTAGTATTGAAGGAACTAGGAACCTAAAATGGGCACTAGTTCGGAGATTCTGTGGTAAGGAGTTGGTTATGCTTTTGGGAAGATATCGATCACCCAAAATCATCATTTTCGAAGAAAGGTACTATGTCCGGTTTAGTCCTAAATTCATCTCCTAAAGTGTTTTATTTTTTTCAAATTATTTTTCAATTTAGAACTCCAAATTTTCAAGTCAAATTAAGGTTTTTATTTTTGAGTGTGGCATCGTATTGAAACAATCGTCGGACCCCTTCCATCGGAAGACACGTCGGCTTAAACATCGGATCTACTTTTTGAGTCTCGACACAATCGGTATGTCGAGAGAACACTTGTTTATTGAAAATGATTTTTTGGCTAATAACGAGTCCCTATCAAATAGGAGACTTTGTTAAACGTTTTATAATTTTTTTATTTTTTTATTTTTCATTTATTCATTTATTTATTGGTGGAAGATCATCATCGGTCCCTAAAGAATTAGGAGACTTAACAATCCTCCACTAATTATCGACTCTAATTATTAAACAAATAAATTAAAGCTACCTCTATAAATAAAAAAATTCAAATATTGAAATTTAAATAACAAGCATCGTAAATTAAATTCAAAATTAAAATGACATTAATTAAAATAATTACGGATAATTAAAATATTAAATTCTAAGTTAACATAAATTAACAAACATACATAAAATAAACTCTAGATTAAAATTACATTAATTAAAATAATTAAAGAAAATTCAATATCTCAATTAATATATGAAATAACAACATGCATAAACATAAAGACACTTTTTTTTTACTCTCTTTTTCCTTTTTTTTTTTTTTTTTTTTTTGGTTTTTAGTGGTTTGGTCCAGCCCAAAATTTTTTATTTTTGGGGGCTACACTCGGGATGAAATTAGCCCAATCCAGCCACCCCACACGGGTTGGGCTTGCCCAACCCATAAACACTTCTTAATCTCTCTTTTTGTCAAAAAAAATGGATCAAAGACCCCCTTTTTATTTTCCTTCTTTCTTCCCCGTTTTCTCTCTTTTTTTTTTCTTTCTTTTTCTTTCTTCTTCCCTTCTCTCTACATCTAGCCTCCATGGACGAACCAGCATGGTTCGCCCCTTCTTTTCTTCCTCTCCCCTTTCTTTTCTTTCCTTTTCTTCTTTTCTCTTTCCTTTTCCCCTTTTCTTCTTCTCCTTCTTCTCCTCCTTTCTCTCTCCTGTCGAAATCGCCATGGACGAACCGGTGGCGGTTCATCTATGCCTACCTATTTCCTTTCCTTTTTCTTTTTTCCTTCCTTTCTCTCTTCCTTTCTTCCTTCGTAAACATCTTAATTTCCCTCTAGATCGAAAACCCCGAATCAATTTTTTTTTCAAAAAAATCCCCAATTTGGTCGAACCTAAGTTTTGATTTTTCTTTAAAATTTTCTTCCAATTAGACCTAATTGAATTGATTTAAAGTGAAATCAAGTCAATTCAAACCCTTTAGGACTCCAATTTACAAAAACCCCCCAATTCAATTTGTTCAAAAACAATCAAGAACCCTAGGTTTAGATGGAAATCAATTCGGTTTCAATTTGGGTTTCAAACCCCAAATTGAAACTCTAATTGACCTCAATTAAACTTAATTAGTGTTTTCCATTCCCCAATTTCAAAACAATTTGAAAAACCTTGAAATTTCAAACACAAAACCTTAATGTTGTCAAAAACCGAAATTAAAAAGGAACTAAAAGAAATTACCCAAAAGAATTGGTGAAGGTGATGGAATTGAAGCTTCGGTTCGGGTGGAATTCGGTTTCTCTTTTCTTTTTTTATTTTTGGATTTTTTGTTAGTTTTTTTCTTCTTCTTCTTCTTCTTCTTTTTTTTTTTTTTGTTGATCTTCGTGAATTTTCAGTTGCCTCCCTCTCTAAATTTTGTCCTAACCTCTTTCCTTATTGTGTTTGCTATTATATATGTATGAATGTTTAATTCTCCACCATGATGGTGTGAGATTTTTCTTCGCGAGGATTGTCAAGTGGGAGGGTTGGATGGGATTGAGTTGTGGGTTGTGGTCGGGTGGCTCCCGGTAGTAAGGGTGGTCGTAGAGGAGAGTCGTCAATAGAGGTTGTGAGTTATAAGGGAGGTCTGGCGAGTGGGGGGTGCTGATATTGTTAACCATGGAGGGGAGATTGTGAGCTGCAAGTTGAGGGAATTGTGGCGGTGAGGTTGCTTGAGACCGGAATTCAAGGTCGAAACTTGGTTCCCAATGAAACAAGATTGCAATAACTTGGAACCAAAAGCTGGTTCAAGGGGAAGTAGGATTTTCAAAATCCCGAAACTATTTCTATGCAAGAGTGGGCAAGCTGCAATTTTACAATTTTTCTTTCTTTTGATTTTTTTGTGATTTTACAATTTTGGTCCCTGTAAATTATTATTAGGTCAACTTGGTCCATATCCAATGTAATCCGAGTCCCGCACTTTGAATGATTCAATTGTATCCCTAATTAATGTAATTATTTTGAATTTAATGCAATTGCATCCCCGAATGTTAAATTCAAATTATTTTTATATTTGTATTTTTTTCTTTTTTCTTTTTTTTCTTTTTGCAAATTATTAAGTAAAATGAAATTAAAAAAAAAATTAAGATTAAAAAAATGAAAAAATTTTAAAATGAAATAAAAGAAAATAAATAATCAACTAAAAATAAAAACCTTGAAATTTTGGTTATGACACATTGCTTGGATCTGCTACCATCAAATTACATTCCCAGTGGTTGATTCAACAAAAGCAGACTACGGTCAAGATTATTGAAAGCTGGATTACCCAATACTATGCTGATTTACGTCCATATAGAAATGGGAAAAGCTTTTGATTGAGTTATTTAATGTATTGTACAAAAAAAAAAAAAAAAAAACTTATATTTGCATTTAATGTGTCGTATAAAAATTTTGCAAGGCCATAACGTATATAAAAATTAGCTGCATTCGAGTCCATGATTTCTTATTGTGAAAGAATCATTCCAGCTCAAAATTTTAAACCCTTAGGTGAGCCTTAAGAGTTGCTAGAAAACCTATCCTACATTAAATAAGAAAATTGACGTAAGCAGGACATGTAACTTGTTCAAGTCATCAAAATAAAATCTCAAAATTCATTCCTAAGATCAAACAGTACATTATCAAATTTACCCTTTCAATGTAGTCACCAAAAAATCCAATTTCCTCGCCCAGGATTAAATAATACTCATAAATTTTACTAACAAACCATCATGGAATTCAACTTTTCTGTCATTTCCAATGCAAAAAATTTATGAAAAATCAAAAGAAATTACCTCATGCATAGAATCAATATTTTCAGAGCTACAATACTGAAGAGTATGAGGATCCACCTTATGTGAACAAATAGAAAAAACAGAGGCATGGCATCCCTGTGTCACCACGCTCCCCATCGGCCATAGGTCTATTAAGTCTCTCCTTAACACCACATACTGCACCAGCACGTCATCTGAATTACCTGCTTTCTTCTCTTCGTTTTGTGAATAGGGTTCTGACTCTGTGGTGCTTGACTCGTTGAGCTGGACCCCGGTTGAGTGAGTGACCGAGTTGTGATACAGAAGGGGAAAGAGAGGTCGCTAACCCTAATTTAGGTTCTTGAAGGGGTGAAGAGAGGAAGAGAGGGAGCGAATCGACATGGTGAAAGAAGAGGGACCATTGGGTGACAGAAGACAGTACCAAATTGCCGTGCTGCTTCGTCAGAGATAGTACATCTGGCTAGGGAAACATTAGGCTTGATTATGGGCCCATGTTATGATTGAAGCCCACTAGGACCAAACAATTTGGATTTCATTTTATTCCATTTTTATTTTATTATTTTTTTTTGTTTTTTTTGTTTTTGTTTTTTGACAAACTTATATAACATTGATGTTCACGAACTAAGATTAAGTCTTTTCTAATTGGATCTTAAATTTATATGGGCTGTAGATCCTCTTAGAGTGGAATTTAAAACAATAATATAGAAAACAAATCTATTTATCATTCAAATTAAATATTTGAAATAAATAGTTAACTAATTCAAAAAAATATATATTAAAAAATTTATAGGTTAAGAGCTTAATATATCATTACATAATGAGATAATTATTTAATATATCTTTATACTTCTAATTGAACTAATTTTATCTTTAAATATTTCTTAACTTTCTAATTAATACCGATTAATATAAGAGTGTCTAGTACTACTATAGATCGAAACGAAGTGTTTTTATTATTATTTTAAATCGCAAACGGTTAAAAAAACGATCACGATCATTATTGTGTAATTTACTATAATATTAAACTAACGATAACAAGATATTTCGAAACGAGTTACATAACAACTATTCTATTATATAACTTAATGGCAATTATCCAAAACTATGCAATCTCCACATAATTAGAAGAGTCAAAGAATAAAAGAGTTTTATTCAGGTTGGAGTGTTTTCAGGTTGTTCGATTCAGAGTTTATGAGCAATAATACCTCCAACTTTGAGCTTCTCAGACAAGTTCTAGATTTGAGGTTCTCATTTCACCTCCAGAGTAACCTGACATCGAAAAAGAGACAAAAATATACGTGTCAAATTGAAACAAAAGAAAACGCTCAAGAATATTGACGTCTCCATTACTCATTGATGCACTTCAAACATAATGTCAATATGCCTCTCTAGTAACTGATCAATAGCTTCCAGGTTGAAGTTTTGGGAAGCGGTTTACTGATCAATAGCTTTTTCCAACACTCGTTCTTCCTTGTCCATATACATCAAGCTTCCAGGTTGATGCCTTGTCCCAGTATACACTCTTAGCAACTCCTTCTTTGTGCACCATAAGGCTTGATTTTTTCTTACGGATATCATCATAAGGTAGGCCAACTTCCATCTTTGAGAATGCCTCACTGACCATGTCAAACTTTAGAACAGAGCACTTTTAATTTGATTCTTTGACGTGGTATCATCCTCGATTGCCTTTGTAAAAGCTATATGATATCATATTCCCTTCACAACCACTGACCTGTCAGGACTAAGAAAACATTCACCGAAAGGATTTACCTGGTTAAATTGTTTCCAAGCACCTGTCCTCAATATGAAAACTTCAGCTTTGAGAATGATCTGCTAAATACCATAAACAATTTGTAGTCTTTTATTTCAGGATGGAAAGCGAACCCCGAGGCACATGGATAGCCACAAAATTTCCTGTTTTTCTTATGGAAGGGAGAACCATGAAAATTCGTGCTTCTCTTATGAAAGGGAGACAGCTGGTGCCGATATACTCTTGCTGGATTCCATAAAATATAACTGATAAGACTGTTACATCTTCTAGGTATGACAGTAACACAAACCAAACCGTTGGCAGAACCCATAATATATGCATAATCTCTACCTGTACTGTTACAGTTGATCATGGATGATGATATTTTCCGATTATGAAGTCTATTTTTCCCTTCACCAAACAGCGATATGCTATAATTCATGTCAGATGAGCAACCGAGTGTGAGTATGATAGACCGTTTAATTAGTAGAAAATATTCCATGACCGAATCACATTCTCTTTAGATCTTAATCTTACGTTATATCAATATGTTACTGATTATCAATTTCACTTATATTATGCAAAACAATTTAAAGTGTCAAATCGTACATTTAAAGTTTTTTATTCAATTATAAAAAATAAAAGTTATGAGATTTGGCTATTAATCATTTACTTAGGAAGACTATAATAATATCTTATCAAACAATCATATTATCAATTCTAAAACTTAAGTTATTAGATAAGATTCCAAAAAATAATTTTTTATTAACTCATCAATAGGAGGTAATCAATTTTTTGAGAACAAAACACAGTAGGTATTACCCAAAACTTCCTCTTTATTACCACACCTTTACTTATTACTTGTAGACAAACAACATCCTATTAATTAAATTTCCCTAGATTGATTAATGTAATAAAGATTTTTTACTTAAAATTTTTGAAGGACGCTCACAAATTAAGGAAAGCTATCTAATAAAAGGAGTGAGTTTGAACCATAAAATTCTGAAACTCTCCCATACCTTTGATAAAATTAGTCGATTAATTGCTTGACTGATTCAATGTATAGTTATTTTGAGCTCCATCCACTGCCTATAAAATGATTCACATAGAGGAAGATCAAGCATAAGTTCATTTTCCATAGCAAATTTAGCCAAAAGAAAAGAAGAATTCTAGCAGAAAATGGACTCGAGAACCATTATCTTGGTTCTCATCTCGCTATTGTTGTTGGCATCTACTGTTAAAACCCAGGCTGGTGGTACATTTGATGTCACCAAATATGGTGGCGGCGCCGGAGATATCCAGCAGGTATGTGTTGCATACGTGTGTGTACGTATGTGCGTATATGCGCATGTAGAACTTGAACTCAAGATCAACCCGTCACTTTGTTATTGCAAATTGCAGACTAAACATCCATATATATATATATATATATATATATATATATATATAAATTTCGTTTCTTTTTTTGGGTTTAAAATTTGCATTTTTTTTTCTTTTGGCACTTTAGGCTTTAACAAGTGCCTGGAAAGAAGCTTGTGCATCAACAAGCCCCAGCAAAGTTTTGATTCCCAAAGGAATTCATGCTTTAGGCCTAGTGAGTCTGTTAGGTCCTTGCAAGGCTCCGATTGAGCTAAGAGTTGAAGGCACATTGAAGTCTCCGGTGGAACCTGGTGAACTCAAAGGAGACGGTTGGGTTACTTTCCAACGTATCGACCACTTTACATTGTCTGGTGGTGGAATTTTCGATGGCCAAGGAAAAATTGCATGGAAAAAAAATAATTGTTACAAGAATCCAAAATGTGGCATGTTCCCCATGGTAAATCCCTCACCATCTTGTGAAGAGAAATTTTTTCTTTTTTCTCAAGTTATTACTTTTATGAATGCTACTTGTAGTTAATTGAGTGACAAAGTTTGATTCGTGTGTGTTCTTGTTTGCTTCAAATATTGATCAGAATTTCAGGTTCAATTTCATCACCAATGGAATAGTCCAAGATATAACCTCCCTAGATAGCAAGAGTTTTCATGTCAATGTCTTGGGATGCAAGAACCTGACCTTTCAACGTCTTACCATCAGTGCGCCTGGTGATAGTTTAAACACGGATGGAATCCACATCGGACGATCAAATGGGGTCAACATCATCGATTCCAAAATCGCCACCGGTGATGATTGTATCTCTCTGGGAGATGGCAGCCAACAAATAAATGTCGAAAGAGTAACCTGTGGACCTGGTCATGGTATTAGCGTGGGAAGTTTGGGGAAGTACGAAAACGAAGAACCCGTTTCTGGAGTGTTTGTTAAGAACTGCACCCTCTCCAATACTTCAAATGGTGTGAGAATTAAATCTTGGCCTGGATTACAAGGTGGCTCTGCATCAACTATGCATTTTGAAGATATTATCATGAACAATGTCTCGAACCCCATTCTCATAGATCAGATGTACTGCCCATGGAATCAGTGCACTAAAAAGGTACTCTCAAACCAGAAATTAAAAGGGAGAAAAAAATATATGTTTAATTTGTGCAATATCGGTACAATACACCCACACACAATTATGTTGCTATTTGAAGTGGAGAGTACTGAAAGTTTTTTGTGATTTTGATATTTTCTTCACAGGCTGCATCAAAAGTAAAGATAAGCGATGTTAGTTTCAAGAAAATAAGGGGCACTTCCGCCACTCCAATTGCTGTGCAGCTTTTATGTAGCCCTGGCATCCCTTGCGAGAAGGTTGAGCTTGCTGACATTGACCTCACCTATAGTGGAACCCAAGGCCCTGCAAAATCCGACTGTGCTAATGTCAAGCCCAAAATTATAGGAACATTCAACCCACCCGGTTGTTGATTTCTTGATAATCAAAAGTCTTCTTTGGTTTTTTAATAAGCTAGCTTCATCTTTTGAAGCTTTGATTGATATGAACCCCGCAGGCTTGTAAGTGTGCCCGGAGGTGCATATTCTTTTTTGTCTTCTGTTTTCTTATCAGAAAAATTCAAAATCGGAGTGTCAGTACAATTTGCAACAATATTATTCTACACTAATAATTCACACACTGAAATAGAGAGATGGTTAGCCCGGTACCTGAATATATGACAGCCGCTACAAAATTTTGTTTCGGGTAGGCTATCTACTATTGAATTGTATACGAAAGTTGGAATTGCATAAGGGGAAACCAAGGTGATTTCGTGATCCATTGACAATTCATCTTTTCCGGCCTTTTAACCTTCCACAACAACCAAGGCCAAGCAATGCAATAAGATGTAGTCTGTTTCTAAAACGTCTTCTCCATGTTATTTGACCTGTACGGTTTTCGTAACTCTATGAATCCGAACAACCACCCACTAGTCAGACAGACATGTTCATTTCTGAATTTCATAAACTCGCAAACATATAGAGATCCTTGAATAGTTTCAGAGTCCTGTCGAGAACTTCAGCTATAAGTCTGCCATAGTAAAACTGAGAAAAGTAAAAGAAGACGGCTATGAAACAAATATAAAACTTGGGTTGAAGAATCAGGAGTGAAAATGTCAGAACCAAATTTTACTAAACCACATAGAGAAGTTCTATCACATATCCTGGCACCCTACAGGTGAGAAGTTGATGAAATCAGGATATATCTCACACAGACTTAAGATGACAAACTGATAGAAGTTGGGATGACATATCAATATAGTACACATCCCCTCAGCGGCGTCTTGTGTTAGAATTGCTTTTAGAAAGTATCGCTCCTGAAAGCTTGTTGATCTCATACAGTAGCCTGCAGAAACAAGAAACTGCACCAAATACAGATGGTTGAATACAGTCATTAGCACACTTGTATATTGTCTCTATACTTCTTTTCTATATAGTAATGATTTTGCTTTCTTCGCAATGGCTCGATTGAAGTTTTCTAGTCTGTTTCTATATTGTTTAGAACAAACTTATGAAGCCACAGGATGTATATTGTCTCCGTATCCTCGGCAAGCTCACTGTATTGTTTCCATTTGTAGTGTCAAATTCTCATCCACCCAGCAAAGATTGTTAAAGTTTGCATTTCCGTTGCTTTCTATTACGGCAGTTTGAAAATCCCGAATTAAGGCAATTTAGCTTTCTCAGGTCATTGCATCATTGAATATCTAACTATTCCTCGGCAGCCAAACAGAGGACAGCAAGCAACAGAGCATCCTAAATTTTCAATTCAAGAACTATAAATTGTCTTTGTACATGCAAAATATTTTGGTATCAAATAATTTCTCTACTACTAAAGAATTAATAAAGGTTTTATTTTATTTTATTTTATTGATGAAAATTTTTGCATCCAAATAATAGACTGAGATTCAGATAGAGACCTTAATTCTGGGAAAGAACAGATTTTTAATCTCCGAAGAGAATGCATCCCATTACCTGGAAGAGGCAGAGACACCGAAAACTTGCTATTTAAACAAGAAATCCCTGAAAAAGAGCAACTTCATACACATTGGAAGCTTGTCACATCCATACTTTACAGAGAACACTATCTGCCTCACATCATGAACGACTCTATCATGTGACTCATTAACTTGAACATGCTTACTGTATAATCAGAAGCTCTCACATGTTAAAGACCTCATTACAGCACTATGCTTTAGCAAGGGAAATGAATAAAGAGAGGATGGGAAAGGGGGGGGATTACTTGACTTTTTCACGGGAAGTTTTGACATTTTGCAAAGTTCATCCATGCGCATACTTATTTCCTGCAATCAAGATCAAACAGAACTCACTAGGCGATTGTAACTAAACATAGTTCAGTATTATCAGATCAAACTCATTCGAAAGGGATGGAAACTAGTGGGGGTAATTAAAAAATCTTAATGTAAATAAAACTCACATGCTTGAAGACTGTTGCAGACATTCAAGGACTATT